AAGAGAGCAGGAGCGATTCTACCCCTCCCTCCTCCTTTCCACTCCAAGGACAATGCTTGGCTGTTTCCTCTCTCAGGTAGCACCCCTCCCCTGCCCCCCCCCATCAATACCTAAAGATGAGTTTCAGATCAAGTCTTGAGTTTTGCAAGGATAAAGCAACAAATTTCCCCCTGATGATTAAATCCTTTGATGATAAGCCCAATATTTTTCAGACTACCTCTAACAACTTTCAGCAAATGCAATGACACTGAGAAAATTGGGAAGCCATTACTCTCTCTCCTCTAAGCACAAATCATTTCAGGGAAGGCCAAGGGATGAAGTGATGGGCAGGGCCAAGATGGCCCCCAGCTTCTACCACTAGCTCAGTTCCTTGTCTGGAACTTGCTATGTTATAGTTTCTCCATCTGGAAATGGAGGAGTATCATGGTCCAGTAAGAAGTGTTGATGTGGAGAAAAAAGAAGCACAAGGAATCATTCAGCCTCTAAAGTCACCACTCTCCTGCTTGCATGACTGCCCAGCACCATGTCTGCACAGGGGCTAAGAGCCAGGGCTGCAGGTCACACAGACTGGGTTGATGTCCCAACTCTGCTTCTACCTGTGTGTGCCTCTGAGCTGCACAGCTCACCTACAGATGTTGGCCATCAAATAGCCCCAGGAGCTGCAGGCAACAGTGCTGTTCCAGCACTGAGTATGTTCACTGCTTGGAAAGTGATGTCTGTTTCTACTGAGCTGGTTCAAGTATACGTTTAGACAGCTATGAAGCCATGACAGCAGAGGCCAGGGTGAGAATTGTGACAGGATGCTCAGACCCCTTTCAGGATTGAGGAGCAGTCACTGGAAATGCCTGAGAATGGTCTCTGGAATTTCCTCAGCAGAAAATCCAGGTCAAACCAGCTTCCTGAAGAGAGTAGGGGGACGGATGAGATAAGGAGAAGTAGAAGGTGGGAAGGGTGGTGTTACATCCAGTGATAGATCATGTAGGCACAGAGCTGACTTCTTACCTCTCCTGGAGCAGGAGAAGGGCCTCCCTATTTCAGAAGGCATCCCAGACCAGTTTTGCCAGAGTCTCCATTCAAGAGCCCTTTGTAGTGAGCTTCCTGGAAGCTCAGCCCAGTACAGAGTTGTCAGGGATACCCCGCCTGGAGCAATTGCTCACACCTGTAATCCTAGCTGCCTGGGAGGCTAGGATCTGAGGATCGAGGTTCAAAGTCAGTATGGGCAGAATAGTCCATGGGATACCAATTAACCACCAAAAAGCCAGAAGCAGTTTTGAGTGAGAAAGTCACGTGAGAGCATGAAGCTCGGTGTTCAACCCCACTAAACAACAACACCCCCACTCCCTCCTATACACAGACTTTTTAAAGGACTTTATCTTGGAATGCCTCAGGTAAGAATCTAAGTCCTGATACACACTTTAGGCCCTGGATTCCTCAGTGCCCATAATTTTAAAGGAAGAAGCTGAGATGGTTGAGGGCTGGGAAGGAAGCTCTGGTATAAGTGAGGCAGAGTTCAAACTCAAGCCCAAAAGAAAATTTCTCCTGGGCTATTCTGAGGGGTTAAAAGGTATATTTGGCCTAAAGCTTCCACCTGTGCAGAAACAACACTGGAAACAGGGAAGGAGGGGTTGGGGGGGTGGAGAGAAGGTAGATCCCAAGTTTTTCTTCTAGAAACTTCTTGGCATGCCTTCCCCCTGATGCTTTATTTTTTGGTGGTATTTGTGGTGTGCGCCTCATACATTCTAAGCTGGCACTCTACCACTTGAGACACACCTCCGGTCCTATTTTTTTGTCAGTTATTTTGGAGATCGAATCTGCCTGGCTGTCTTCAAACATTGTACAATCCTCTGGATCAGCCTGCCAAGTATCTAGGATTAAAAGCGTGAGCCACTGATATCAGATTCTTTTTTTTTTTTTGTCGGTTGTAGGGCTTGAACTCTGGGCCTGGGCATTGTCCCTGAGCTCTTTAGCTCAAAGTGAGCGCTCTACCACCACTTCCAGTTTTCTGGCCTTTAACTGGAGATAAAGAGTTTCACACACTTTCCTGCCCAGGCTGGCTTTGAACCATGATCCTCAGATCTCAACCTCCTGAGTAGCTAGGATTACAGGCATGAGCCACTGGCACCCAGCTTGATACCTGATTCTTCTATCATGTTTTAATAAGAGGCTCTATGTTTCTCCTCTTTTGTTCTAGGTTCCACAACCATATAGCTGCATTGAGCTGATCCTATAACCAGGACAGGGGCCTTTATTTCTGGTAGAGCAATCGGATGTTTGCACTGGCCCTTCTTTGCTGGGGTTGGGGCAGGAATATGCACACACCAGGCTCTGCCTGCTTTCCTGTCCACAGTGTCCTGTAGCAGTATGGATTCAGGAGAGCCTTCAAGAACGTCCTCAGGCTTCCCTGAGCACTGTGTAGTAGCTTCGACCTTTCTCTACCTCCTCCACACAGATGGGCCCCAACTCTAGCCTTCTTGCATTCCTCTCCTTTGGAAACTGAAAATAGGAGCAACCTTGTGTCCAGCAGTAGTGCTCTGGTTAACAGTAAGGGACAACTTATCCAGAAGTCTGCCACTGAGTAAGAATCTACCTCTGTCAGAGCCTAGTAGTGTGACCTCCACAAGCCTTCAGCCCTCAGGTTCCTTAGATGACAACAAACCTCCATCCCTAATCAGCTGTGAGGGTTGATGACAAAATGACACAGTAGAAGGTCTTAGATAGCAGATCAAAAACACTTCTTTCCATTGATCATAAAAAAAAAAAAAGGAAGCCACAGGCCTGGGGCTGGAGTTCAGTGGTGCAACCTATGCTCAGCAGTGAGAAGCCCAGAGTCAGATCACCAACACAAGGAGAGGAAGTAAAGAAGGGAGGGAGAGGGAAGAAGGGAAGGGAAGACCGCTAATACTGCTTGAATGCTGCTCCAAAATCTTCTACAATTATGATTTCTAACAGTAAAGACTGAATGCTACATAGATGGGCACTGCAACCCTGAAAAATAAAGGATGAAAATGTTCTTCTTACCAAACCCTTCCCATCTGGCCATAACACAAAGAGCAGTATTTGGAATTGGCAGTCTAAGGGTTGAGGCTGTGTAAGTTACAATCCCTGAACCTGGGTTTATCATACCCACAAAACAGAAGGGACAGTCATAACGGTAACAAGAGCTAATCCTGATGCATAATTGACACTCAGCCTTCCACCCCCAACAGTCCCAGTAAGGAGGTACTACTATTATTCCCATTTTACACATGAATAAACCCAGGCATAAAAAAGGTGCTTTCACCCAACGTCATACAACCTTCCAATGGCTGCTGAGAAGGTCAACTTAGAAGATGCAACAAGGAAGTTGCACTTCTGTTATTGCTTTGTTTTTTTACTTTTTTTTTGGTCGGTCATAGTACTTGAACTCAGGGCTTGAGCTCTTTTGCTCAAGGCTAGTGCTCTACTATGTTGAGCCACAACATCACTTCTGGTTTTCTAGTGGTTAATTAGAGATTAAGAGTCTCACAGAATTCTCTGCCTGGGCTGGCTTGGAACCATGATCCTCAGATCTCAGCTTCCTGAGTACCTAGGATTACAATACATAGACCACCATGCTTGGCTTGGTACTTTGGAAACCATAATGTGGACAATGGCCAAGGACATTCACAAATTTCCCATCAGAGCATTACCTTCCTCCTCTCCCTCTAAAGCAACTTGGTGGACACAACCAGATATTTGAAATTTGCATGCTTTTCCTCTCTTTGTCTTTCCCTATTCCTCACCCCCTACCCTTCCCATCTCTTCCCTCCATAAATACTTGGCCACCACTGTAGGCCACCCAATTCTCATTTTCCTATCTTGAGGTCACTGTAGATGGGCACGAGATGCTTGGTGACCAGGCATAATCAGGACACACTTGTCTTTCTCCCACTCTGCCAGCCAAACCCCCACATCCCCCTTCATTGCTTCCTCCCCTTTGCTTATTAGCTGCCTTCTTCAAACAGGAAAGATGCAGTCAATGCTGGGTAACTGCTTCTAATCATAGGCGATAGCAAGAATGCAAACAATGAGAGAAACATCTAAATGCAATCCAAGTGGCAAGGAAACATAGCTCACTGGGCTCACTAGCAGCTCCCTAACACCTTCAGAAAAATGCCCCACACCCTTTCCTACCCCTACACCTTAGCTTTCTGAGGCTCCACTCTCATTAACACTCTGTTAATAGGGACCCCAGAAACCTAATGCTCCTGGAGAACAGAAGAATGGAACGCTATGTCATAATCTTCTTTGACTCTACTACCTCTAGGGAAGATTTTCTAGATTTTTTCAATTTTATTTTTCAAGACAAATAATTTTAACATGTTCTGTTGGGAGGGGAGGTCAGGGCCCCCTTTGACAAGTTCAATGCTAGGGATCATTTCCCAAGGAGAGCTCCACCACACAACATTTTATAAGTCTGGGATCCCAGGTTGGCATCCATTTTCTTTAACATGAATAGGACAGGAGGAACACAAGAGAGTCGACAAATCAGTACACTTGTCCCTACACATTCTGAAGTACCACAAGGGACTGCTCCATCTCTAACTGCTGTATTCAGCAAACAAACAACACCAGGTTCTCTCTCTCTCTAGATAGTTTGCATCTAAACTACCTTCATCGGTACAAATTGAGAACTCAATTTTGAGGAATTACTACAAATAATTTCCACCACAATCACTTAGCGCTGAGGTTAACAAAGGATTAAGAAAGTCTGGATTAGAAATCTTATTCAGTGTGTGCTGAGTGTGGCTGTATCCAGTCAGAGTTCCCAAGCCAAAAATGGATGGGGGTTTTAATTATCTGTATCTGGATTCTCTGTGCTAAGGTGGCTGTCCATTAATGGAGACCTTCAACAGATGGCCACTAGTTCCTGCTTGCTTTGGGATTCTTCCTGGAATCCTAGTTAGTGGGACTGGACATGAACAGTGACAGAGGCCAGCAAGAGAGTGTAGGGACAACTTTCTCAAGCTGGGGCATCTTACCTCTGTGCCTGTTGGTGGTTTTATCAAACATCAGCATCGCATCCTCCACCTGCAAAATACAAAAGAGAGACAGCTTTAGGAATTTCCACAAAACGCATACAACATTATAAACAGTGGGGGGTGGAAGCGGTAGTTTCCACTATAGGTGTAATAGTGGTTCCCTAAAGAAGATTTGAAAAAAAAAAAAAAGAATGTAATTGTGCATCTTTCTGCCTAGTATTATAGCTAACACATGGTATGTTTTCCTTTATTATTTACTTTAAAAAGTGTCTGATTATTTTAATATGGCTTACAGTGTATTGTATATGGAATTCTCTTCGTTTCGTGCTTTAACAAGTAACGTTAAACTATCTTGAATACTGCAAACTTATTACAGCTTACTTACTATATCATTATTTTCTTTTTCTTTTCTCTTTTTTTCTTTTGGTGGGTCCTGGGGCTTGAATTCAGGGCCTGGGTGCTGTCCCTGAGCTTTATTGCCACTTGAGCCACAGCTCCACTTCCACCTTTGGGGGTAATTAATAATTAGAGATAAGAGTCTCACAGAGTTTTCTGCTAAGGCTGGCTTTGAACCAAGATTTTCAGATCTCAGCCTCCTGAGTAATTAAGATTACAGGGGTAAGCCACAGCTCTTTTTTTCTTTTTGTGGTACTGGTGTGTTTGAATTCAGGGCCCTGTGCTTGTTCAGCTTGCTTGATCGCTTGGGTTCTATCCCTTGAGAACTCCAGCCCTGATTTTTGCTGGTTATTTTAGAGACAGGGTCTCACAGGCTTTTCTGCATAAACTTTTCAAACTATGATCTTCTAGTAGCAAGAAGTATAGGCCTGAGTCACCTGCACCCTACTATGAATACTATCCTGATCACAGCATGATTTCATAGGGCAAGAAGCTTAGTTATTTCCCTCTGATGATTCTTTACATTGTTTCCAGTTATCAATGAGACTTCAACTTAACTGTTACGGGACAGACTATGCTCCCTAAAATTCATATACTGAAATCCTGACTCCCCAATACTGTGTACATGACTTTTATTGGGGGGTGGGTTGGTTATGTGGCTTGAACTCAGGGCCTGGGCTCTGTCCCTGAGCTCTTTTGCCCAAGGCTAGTGCTCTACTACTTTGAGCCACAGTGCCACTTCTGGTTTTCAGTGGTTAATTGGAGTTAAGAGTCTCACAGGGTCTTTTCTGCTTGGGCTGGCTGGCTTTGAAAGGTGATCCTCAGATCTTAGCCTCCTGATACATGACTGTATTTCGAGGGAGGTAATTAGGGTGAAGCAGACAGTCACATTCAGAAGACAATCACCTACAAGCCAAGGATAGACAGGCCTCAGCAGAAACCAACTCTATTGTATTAGATTCTAGCTTCCAGAATTATGAAAAAATAGACTTCTGTTGTCGGAACTACTTTGTGGTACTTACTATGGCAGCTATGGCAAACAAATGTACTGATCCTAGGACCTTTGCCAAACCAACAAAGAGAAGAAAATACCAAGAACAATTTCTGTCTGCCCTTAAACCCACAATGATTCTGATGTTTCTAGCATCTTGCAATCATTTTGGGAGTTTCTAACAATAAGATTTCAGGAGTCACACTTGATTGGCAAGTAGATTTCAGAAACTCAATACTTAATGAACCACGTCTAGCCTCAGAATCCATTCCTTTTGTTTTAAATCAAATTCTTTATTCCAAACAGCATCTATTTAGCCTAGGTATTTGTCTTAACTCATCAGCTATTTAGCTAACGTACCTGGTCTGCTCTTGTGAGCAGCCTGCTCTTGACTGGCAGCAGAAATACAACCCAACTTATGTGGTTATGGGTGGAAAAGCGTCAGCCAGAGGGCTCTGTCCTGGGAGCATTTTCCCACATGTGGATGTAGCTAGGAAGGACTGAGAATCATTGATTTGTGCTCAAAGGCTCATAAATGAGCCTGGAGGCTTGAGCTAAGCCAGCTGAGAAAAGGAATCCCAGGCTATTCACTCTTCACTCCTCCCAGACTATGAGCTGCAACTTAGGAGAAGACACTGGGAGAAGCAAGAAAACAAGGTTTAAAAGAGCGCCTACAGACAACTCAAATCTATTTTTCTAGATGCTATCAGATATAATGTAGAGAAGAGCAAAAAGTCCAGGTAAGGATGGAAGAAAGGGTAGGCAAGGCCATCACCAATCTTGAAGGGACTTGGCCTAGCTTAAAAAACTCCTGGAGACAGGGCCCCCTTTTGTTGCTAAGCAACCAAGCCTGAACAAATAGGCTCCTGAGGCCTTCCCCTTCTGGTCCCCACTCCTGTAGTCATGTGCAGGGGATGGGGGGAGGAGGGAGAATGGCCTTGCTTGGTAACTCCTCCCCCAGTCAGGGTGCTGCCCTCATTCTCTCAGGCACCAGCTGGCAGGAGCAGGCGCTGATACTTTGCAGATCACTTGAGTGAGTTCCTTCTCCTGGCCCCTCCCAGATGCCCATGCCTGGCAGGCTTGAAGAGCCCCCCAGGCACCTGCTGAGGCCATACACACAACAGCCGTTCTGCCTCCCATGCACCACTCAAGCAAAACCACCATAAGATCAACCGGTGTGTTTGCACACAGAGCAGTCACACTAGAGCATATGGCATCCTAGACTCAGACCCTGGGATGGGATATGAATCCTGATGCCCAGGGTGCATATGTGTGTGCACGTGCGTGCATGTGTGTGTGTGTGTGTGTGTGTGTGTTGGGGGTGAGACCTGCTGGGGCAGTGAAGGTAAATGTGACATCTGCTGCTTCACACCCATCTCCATGTTCTCTGAATGAATGCCAAGTCCTTATTTTGAGCTGAAAATGCCTAACAGTAAGGAAAACAGCTTCCCTTCTGTGTTGGCCATGTTTTGGTACTGAAACTCAGATCCCCTTAGGAAATAAATACTTTGAATTTTTTTAACAAAAAAAAAATGCATTTTCCAAACTCCTTTTCAGCAGTGAGTAATTGGCTGCTTTCTTACAAAGCCTCCAACACTCACTCTATCCTGGCGATCGTGGGGGAGGATCGCAGTGTGTTTAGGGGGCAACTATTGTCCTAAAGAATAGAGAGCTCTTTCCTCTGTAGTCCAGCTGTACTATGGGACTTGCAAAGACCTCCTGAATAGTGTCAGGGCAAAAGAAAAAAAAATTCTATTAACACTTTACAAAATGCAACATCTAAGAAGTAGCTAGAGAGGAAAGAGAAAGGGGAAAAAAATCAATATGGATAAGTCCCAGTGCTGGTGGGGTGAAAACTTTTCAGCGGCTGCAAAACACTTATTAATTCAGAGAAGCCATCAATGCGATGGAAATCTGGCAGAACAGCAAGAGCTGAAACTAGGAGAATTTGAATATACAAAGACTGAATAGAATGAAAAACACGGGCCTCACATACGGGCCTGTTTCTCACGGTTCTGTGTGAATCAAACAGAAGCAGCTTGTGTGAGTCTCCATTAAGGGGAAAAAAGGGGCACAGTTGAGGTAACTGGTAATAGCCCAGAAGCCAGCAAACCCATAACGAACTCAGTCACTCTGTCTCACATGAGTGCACACGCAAACACCCGTGTGAAACCCAGGTAAACGAGATGGCCAAACAGTTACCAACATTAACATACAGGCCAGCTCTCATTCAAGGTCTAGGATAGCACAGAGGGGTAGGAGGGTAGCAAACACCATTAACTTGTTAAATACTCCCAGAGAAAACATGCTCTTCCCTGTGATTAACACTGCCCTTTAGTTTTCTGGATACTGTCTTCACATTGCCACCTTATAGGTTTCATTGTATCAGGTGTGACACCAGTAAGCCTAGTGGTCTTGTGAACCTCCTAAGGGCCAGAGGAGGACAGGGGTATCTGAACCTCAGCCTGCTTTGTCCCACAGGAGCCTGGTCTTCTGGAGAGACAAGATTATTCCAACCTTGAGACATGCTTTATAATGACCAAAGCAGGTTGACAAGGAGCCCTAGTGTCCTTAACAGTGTCTTCCAGAATGAAAATATGAGGTCAACTATCTTTCAGGTGAATGGCTGGGAATGGGATACCCTGGTCTTTGCCCTGACACCAGCAGGGCCTAAGCACCCGAATATTTCAGACTCTGGCAAGGTATAAACTAGTAGGGTGTGAGTCAAGGGTAAAAGGAGCCACACTGCTAGTCTTGGGGCCACTAGTGTTGGAAAAGGCTTTTCAACATCATCAACCAGCAGCTCTACTATCCCATTCATCTTCTCTCCACCTCTACCTCTCAGTATCCAGTTCAATAGCATCTGTGTTTCCAACTTCTCCCAGGTGCTGCTAATGCAGCTAGTGGATGGTGGCCCCTTCTTTCTCTGTTCTACTCTGAGAGAGAAACAAGACAAAAAATAAAGACACTAGACAGAGTTGGCTCCCTCTAACATACATTTGCTCTTCAACACAGAACAAAACCTCTTTTCTGGATGACCCAATGCAGTGTGGTGATCCCTTTTCTTTGTTCCTCACTTCTCTTGGATAGTTATATTGTAACATCTTAAAAATGATGGTGGAGTTGGGTGCTAGGGACTCACACTTGTGATCCTAGATACTCAGGAAGCTGAGATCTGAGGATCATGGTTCGAAGCTAACCTGGACAGGAAAGTTTGTGAGAATTTCATCTCCATCTAACCAGCAGAAAGGGTGAAGCCTAGGCCTTGAACTCTAACACACGTGCGTGCGCGCACGCACATGCGCGCACACACACACACAGATGGTAGGACCCATGAAGGAAAAGATGACAATTAAGACTTAGCCAAGCAGCCCCTGCACCCAAGACAGATTCACATTCTACTTTGATGATCAACTTTCCTTCTAACAGATAAGCTCCTGTTAATGTCTGTACCATGTAGCCAACTGATCTTGATTAGGAAATTGAGCTAATGGCAATTGTATTTACTTTTATGCAACCTGTACAAAGCATCAACCTAAGTACAAATAAGAGGCAAATCACACAGTTCTATGGGAGACTGATTCTATTGATGGCCTATATACTTTACTCTGTAATTCTGCAATTTCGCTCCCCATCCCTTGCATCTGGACTTAATGTATGGT